CATCCTCTTTAACAAACTTCAGAACTATTTTAAATTCTGTCAACTTAACTGTTTCTCCTTCAGCCTCGGAAACAGATGATTCTGTATGCTGTTTTGATTTTTTCCTTTTGTGCTTAGCTTTTTGAGTATGCCATATTTCCTCATTTTCCACGCCATTATCACCCTCTTCCATTTCCGCAAAGTCRCTACCTGACACATCATTTCCCTCTGACATCCTTCCAACCATTCACAGTCTGGTCGTGCCTCTCCGCCGCTCCACCAACGGCTTCCAGCTCCTCTGCTCATGCCACGCCCCCTGCTTCATTGCCACAGTAATCACTGCTCAYCTGATGCACCTGTTCCCACCAGTATTTAAGCTCCTCAGCCACAGTCACTCATTGCCAGATGATTGAACGGTTCACCAAGTAAATGTCCAGTGTTTTCTCTATGTCCATGCCTGATCTCTTGTTCCTGACCCACGGCCTGCCTCTCGATCTTCATCTCCTGCCTGACCCTTGCCTGATACTGATGCTGAATCTGACCCTTGGCTTACGAACCTGTTTCTGCTCTCTGGACACCGCTACCTGGATTGTGATTTGAATTTGTTTTTGGATTTCTGACCTCCCGGCTCTGACCTTGGAACGTCCTCTGGATTACCATAACCAGTCCGCCCCTGMACCCAGATCTGACCCCTCTTGGATCACCATCAGTGGTGGACWCACCTGCACAAATCCGTCCGCAGACTGAAGGTCAGTAACCATTTGTTTATTCAGCAACTCCACCTTATCTGCTCCCGACACTCGTCAGTGTTCTGCTCTACAGTGTGGTCCATTTCGAGGGTCCAGAGGATCGCTCACATCCAGCGCTTTAATAAAACTTTTAAATCTGTTTTTGTCTCCAGCTGATCTGAATCCTAAACACACACATGTCAACACAATTAATTCAGACTCTGATCAAAACTTAATCAAACTTGTTCAAAACTGATCAACTCAACTCWATCTCCCCACAGATCTTTCCTGGTTATTTACACTGTAAATAAATTCACTTCTTACTTAACCTGTGTTGGTCTGATTCATTATCAGTGGAACCTTTCTGAGTATTTATCTTGTTAAATATGATAGCCTTACAATTTCTTGTTTGGACATTCAAAAGGTGTTGGTATTTAATGTGATCCAGGCTTTATTCTCACACAACCTAAATCAAACTTCTAAATACTTTTGTAACATTACTTTTTTGTGATASTGTTTTGTAGCTTATTGTATTTCTTGATAGTCTGGATGACTTCAGTATTATTTTAGAATGTAGGATTGGTTTTTTTCCATGTGAGCTGCACCTTTTTTAATTTCTTTTGAACCAAACTTAAAAAGCAATGACTGTCATCACTTGATTTTTTTTTTTTTTAGCTTTTTTGCTATTACTTTGGTCAATTCCAAGTTATTTCAGTGATTTTTTTTTGTGGGTTTTTCATTTTTCAATGAAACAATACCAACAAAATCTGCCCACGGTAGTACTCTCATTCTGAATGTTCTCAGATTAAACATTATTCTGTGAAGTAAGTGTGACCTGGAAGCCTCTGAGAGTTCGGTAGTAACTGTCCAACATCAGCATGGACAAGGACGTAAGCTGGGCCGTTCTGTCCCAGCCGTCAGTGCAGTGAACCACCACTGAGGTTTTCCCAGACTCAACTTTATCAGCTATCTTTGCTGCCCCTGCTAAGAGCAACTACACACAACAGGAATATGATTAGTTAGTCATACACATTTTTTTCTTTCTAGTATTCACAGTAATACATGACTGCGGCGCACACACATACCCGGATGTACTCCAGCCAGTGCGTCTGGTCGATTGCAGAATGCCAGTGACTTTCATCAATAGTAGGACAGATCACATTCCACAGCTTTCTCATAGACTCTCTCATTACATTTATGTTGGGGATTTCCAGGAAATGCAGCTCTACGTTTGGGTAGAAAGTTTCCGATTCATACCCTGCGTCTTTTGTCTTTTTTGTTATCAGGAAGGAATGATGGAAGAGACCAGAATTGAGAAAACAAAAGAGTATTTTCAGGAAGAATAAATACAAACAAAAAAATGGAATTTGAAAACACCACAAAAACTACATAGTAAATGATGTTTTTTCACCTTGTTAGTGATAGCCTCACTATTTTGACGAGCATCAAAAATAATAAGTTTGTGGGACTGAGCGTTGGCATCCATGATAATTTGGAGGAAACGTTCATCCTCTTTACAACGGCAGTCCAAAGGTCCGACTAATGGCTGGCTGCAGCGTAGTATTGCAGCCTGAGACTCTGGGTGGATCCAGGACAACACCTGCACAAAGAKTAAGAACAGTTCAGAACTACAACAGTCCAACATGAATGCACAACGCCTAAAAACTAAAGAAAGAGCAAAGACCAGGGCTTCTGGTGGAGGCACATAGATGTGCTTCACAGGAGCTCTGTAAGAATGTATTCATATTATATTTAAGATAACATTTTAGGGTTCGACACACGGGGAGCGACAAARGACATCGATTAACAGTTGTCATAACAACCAGAGTGAAACCCGACACATGGGACATGATAGCAATGGCAGCATTGCAAGTTGCGCTCTCGGGTCGCTTGTCTTCACGAAATTTGGTTCTTCTACTGCCTCTTGTAAAGGTTATTGGTGGTTTGCAAAAAAGGGGATGTACATTAMSGACATGTAAACTAAACAAAATCTTGCGATGCTAATGATATTGAAAAACAAACACACACCAAATTACAATTTAATGAGGAAAACTTAACTTCACCCTGGCACCAAAGAAAATTCCCATAAAGCTGCCTTTTTTAGTAATCACTTGGTGAAGGGTCATATAAAACTGGAAAGTCTGACAGAGCTAAAAAATTTTTTAAAACTGTTAGTTAACTGCAGTGTGTAGCATACTCGCCACTCATTGGTCAGTTAATGAAACCCACGCAGATTGGTTGTATGCCAAGCGACAGCGACAAAAGTTGAACATTTTTCAACTTTCATATGTCATGTCGCAAGCTTGTGTGTGCATGTCTACATGTACGAGCACGAAATTTCACATGCATGATTTTCGCTGGTTGCTTGGCTGGAGGAGGGCAAGCGACTGTCACCTCATCGCACAACTTCAATAGGAAGTGAAAGGAAAGAGCGACCATAGATATTATAATAGGACTAGATAACGTAACCACCGCTACTGCCTATTGGAGCTGACGAGACGTGGGGCCGCCCTCTTAGAACGGTCTCCCGCTCCACTCAGTGTGATAGCAGGCACAATGAAGTATGAACAATGAAGTATCAACACGTTTAATAAATCATAACTCGCTGAAAACTGAAGTGACGGTCACGCCTTTTCTTTAGCTGCAAACCATATACATACAGCTAGCATAGCTACATTTATAAAAGCACATGGTTGTGCATATTTAAATATTTTTGGGGTTAAAGGTAATATATTTTGCAAAACAAAGTGATCCATGCATATATACATACATATATAT